ATGCTTCAGGCTCCGACAGTCGTGCTTGTAACAGCGGTTTGGTATCATACCCATTTAAAAGCACTTTACAGTAAAATACTGGTTTTCTTAGCAGCATATCACCCCGAAGCCGGTGCAGGTTTTAAATGACTCCAAGCCAGAAGACCCATTCTTAGAATATTCTGGTACTTCCCTCGGGAAAGGGAGACTTTTGATACCATCCCGACTCAAATTAAAGGCGTCAGGGACTTTGTAAGAAGCAGATTATTTTGGAGCTAGTGCCACAACCCGGGCAAGGAGGATGGATCCTCTGTTTCATCTTATTTACAAAATAACCTGCCTGAACCATTTCCTCCCATTTCCAGGCATTTTGTTATCCTTCAGGCGAGGAAATGTATTTTTTCCTTCTCATCTCCGCCCCGTTATCACCCCAAGCAATCCAGGGGATGCTGGGGGGAACACCCCCCGGTTCCCCTGGCTCTGGCAGTGTCAGCTGGTTGCAATGATTTCCCTGGCTGGCAGGAGAAGACACGGTGTTTCTGAGTACTCGTGTTTTTCCAGGCTGTGTTCTGGTCCCTTTCCAAAGACCTTTTCCCTAGTTCAGCTCCTGAAAAGCTCCTCCCCGAGGGGGGGGGGAAAAGACACCATTCTTTTTTTAAGACTAACTTCTCAACCAAGAAAAGGTTGGTGCTGCTGCCAGCCGAGGAAGGGTCTGGCGGTTGAGCCATCGGCGTGACACACGTGGGGCTTTGCGGATCCATGATTACCTGTCGCCTGCCATGGCAGAGAGCCCGTGCCCGCTGCGGGCCGTGGCAGCCGGCTGGCTTTCTGCCTCACCTCTGGGAGATCCACCCCACGCTGAGTCACGAAGGACTCCACGTGACCGTGGGGCAGGGGCAACAGGTCGGCACGCAGGAGGAACGAGTATCGGCAGATCTGGAAACACCCCTTGCAAGGAGAGAAATGGAGACCCTCTTCCAAGAGCAGCCTGAGACTGGGAACCCGTATTTGGAAGATGCTTTGCTTCAGAGTTACTTGAAAACACACCTTCCTCCCAAGGTCTGGCGCGGATGTTTGTGTTTCTGTGTGTGCGTTTGTGGATTGAACATTTCTCTGAGCCTGCGAGTGTTTAACTGGGGGGAATTTATCAGCATTCTTTACAGCTTGTTACCTTTGAATCAGTGCAGGGGCAAAAAATACTGCCAGGACATAAACAGAAAGTGTCTTAGTGGACCTGGGTGTTGCAACAAGACTTGTTGTTTTGGGATTATCCGTGTGAGTGTGTGTTGTCTGGTTATCCAGAGAAAGAAATTTCAAAGAAAGGGGAGAAACTCTGCTGTGCTCTTCCACACTTCTCTCCCCCCAGGGAAGAGGGGCTTTTAGGGAAATTCCTCTCTGAAGGAAGGGTCTGTTCTCAGCTGAGTGCTGAAGAAGATGCAAAGGCCCGTTGGGATTTGTGTTCTCAGCACAGGTTGTTGGCTTTTCTGGGCTGACTTTCAGACAGGAAGGCTCTGTACGGACTGCAGGGGCGCAGAGAGGTGGGGTAAGACCCTGAGCTGCAGGTCCCTGTTCTGTGAGGGCCAGTCCTACAGGAATCCCTGGGAGGAGGCGGCTCGTCTCACTGGCTGTCCTCGCTGTCACCTCAAGGACTGCAACTGTTTCCCACTTTTCAAGGACCACATCTCATGGAGCATGTCCTCTCTCCGCAATTTACTCCAGCAGAAGCAATGGAATGACCTCTGAAGCCACCAGGTGAGTAGAGGGGCAGAACCTGACTTTCAGTGATGACCTTCCTGCCCCCTGCTTGCTCTCCAGGTCTGTGAGGCCTTGCAGACATGGCCGAGTACGAGTGTGGTGGCAGCATTGGGAATGAGGCCCCCCTGAGCACCACAGTGGCCTTCTGGCCAGACAAGAAGCTGGGGGAGAAGGAAGGTGGCCTTTGGGCAACCATGAAGATCTTGCTCGTAATCCGCACCTTTGGAAGCAGCGTGGTGCAGATCTCCCGAGGACTGAAAGGACCAGTGGTGGTGTTCGCCGGGGCTGAGAGCTGCTCCCAGCTCCTTCCCCAAAGAGTCAAAGCAGCTGCAAAATCTACCAGAGCATCAGCGGCATCTCCCGTACGTTTCTGCGCTTGGTCCCAGCGGGGCAGTGTTGCCTCACCGCTGACGGAGAGCCCGGCCTGCGCTCTTGCTTCATGCAGCACCCGCATGTCCACACCCTGAGAGCTACTTCCCCGTGGGAACACCTTCCTCTCAGGGAGAGCAGCACCAGGTGAAGCTTTGTGCGTCCCGCTGAAGCAGACACCACGCTGGAGGTTGATTCCTGTTGTGCTGTCCAGCTGTGTTCAGCGGTGAACAGAGACACGTTCCTGGAACGGAGCAAAAGATTCCTTTCTGTGTTCGGAGCGGATTTCTGGAGAAAGCACCTGCTTTCTCCGGGCACCGCTGTGGAGAGGGATCTGTTGGTCTTTGATCCCCCTGAAAATATGTCCTTTAATATAAAGCATTACCTGCTTGCACTCTTAATGTGCAATAATTTGCACTTTTCCAATATATTCATCCCTGGGACATCAAAGGACAGATTAGGGTGAATGAGACCACCCAGCAGCTGCTGAGCAGCCTCAGCCCTGACCCTGAGGGTTTACAGACGCTCCCTCCGTATCCTGGTGTCCGCTTTTCTGGCGCACCCAGGCTGCTGTGGGTCACATTCAGCAGCCACAAATTTGTTCTTTTACCTTGGAAATAAGCGCATTCACTTGGGTAACAGGGTCGTTTTACGAGGCTGCGTGTGGTCAGGGCATGAGCTGACAGCGAGGCAGTTGGGTTGGGATTTTTAGAAGACGTGGATGAGGCGAAGGAACTGTCGTGGTTTGAGTTCACTGTAATGTGCTTACCAAGACACCTATTTGGTGTCCTGTTCTCTGCCCACAAGGAACCACCAGGTAAACAGTTCAAAGGTGCCTGTGCTTCAGGGATCAGCAAGTCCACGAACCTTGGATTCTTAGGTTATGCCTCTAAAACAACCTTCAAGTTGTCACCAAGGTATGATAATCACTGGAGGCAGCATACATCCGTCCCGGCTGAGCTCTGCCGACAGCAAACAAGTGTGGCATGAGCTGTACCAGTTGACACGGCTGTCACGCACGGTTTTGGCTTGTTTTGTGATTTTTGGCACTATTTCACCATTCACCTGAAGGACAACTGGCTGCTCTGAGGATGGAGACTTCCAGAGTAACTGGAGAGTGTGTGTGGGACAGAGTGCTGAAAGAATCGATCATACGGGATGTAGTTTAGTGCAAAGTCAATACAGGGGGAGGCAGGGAAAGGAAGCAGCAGTGTTTGGATTTCATCCACAGCAAATGAATGTGGTTTATAATTGCAGCATTTTGGGTACAGCAACTACGGCATTCACCTCCAGCATTTGTTACGCTGAGGAGGCAACGAGCATCTCTTGAGGGGCAGAGAGCAGCAGAAAGTGTTCCTGTGATGAAAACAGGTCTAGATCAGGTGCTTCTCTGACCCCCAGTACAGTCTTGGATGTATTTATGCTCACGAGGGCCCAACAGTGCTGGCGGCTGGGTCCCCCTGGCCTAGTGGAGTCCTCTACAAAGCAGGTTATTTAAGGCTAGGCAACTTCACTGGGCTTTGGCCACAGACGGTGAAGAGCACTTGCAGAAGGCAATTCCTGTCACCTTGAAATAGGTATCTCGGAGGGCTGGAAGGAATCACTCCTCTGCGGGTGCCGGCTTCCCTCCATCCACTGGACAGATCAGTCCGTCCAAGTCAGCCAAGCCTGGCTGAAAGGCACATGAAGCCTTACCTAGGGCCATTCGGGAAGCTGGATGCAGGGTGGAAATTCGAATCTAGATGCCTGGGTGCCAGGCTGAAGCTCAAATGGCTGCTCCATTCCTCCTCTTCTGATCTGATAGGCAGGTGACTACGGAGCCCAGTGGAAGTTCTCCTAAACAGATGAAGGCTTTCTGGGTTTGGCAGCCCTTTCCCTGGCATTCTTCTCCAGCAGTAAATCAGAGTGGCTGAGGTTGGAAGGACCTCTGGAGACCGTCTCGTCCAACCCTCCTGCTCACGTGCACCGACGTCATTCTCAGTCCTGATACAAAAGCTCTTCTGTCTTTGGTAAAATCCAGAGATGCTGCCAGAAGTAACTTGAAAAAATTATTTGGGGGGGCGGGGGAAAAAGTGACAGCTGAGCAAGAGCAGAGCTGTGCCAGCAGAGGGGAAGAGACGAGCTGTCCTGCTGCGTTACAGAACCGGTGGAAGGGCTGAGTGGCAAGAGCCCGCTAGCACTGCAGGACAGTAGGGTCAGCCCTCTGCCTTCCCAGCTAGGAGAGGCTCCTTGCCTTCCTGGCGCGGGCTGAAGGGCTCTTCTTGTTGCTCCGCAGGTACTGGAGGAGATGAATCAGGATCTGGAGGGATTTGGATACCGTCTGCTAGCCAAGATCAAACCTCTTGGACAGGAATGCGAGTTGAACCCCCCTGTGTTTCGGCAGTATGACGCCTGGGGGCGGCGGGTGGATCACATCATCACCTGCTCGGCCTGGAAGAGGATGAAAGAGATTGTGGCAGAAGAAGGGCTGATTGCCGAGGCCTATGAGAGAAGATACTCCAACTGGAGGTAACTGGGGGAGAATGGGAGTGACTTGGTGCCCCGCTGGTTATTCTTAGCGGGGTCTATTGAGCATCTTGTAGGACTGAACTTCTGGTTGTGTAATGGGTAACAGAGGATGCATGGACAGAAGCACACCTACCGCTGTACGGAACAGCAGTGCCTGTCTGCTGTGATGTTCCACATGGGCAATGATAAGCCGTAACTAATGGCCCACAGTTGATCCTAATATTCTTTGATGTCACCTTCCTGATTCAGGGGCCTGGCCGTTCCCCACACCGCTCCAGCTTTGCGTGCGTTAGTTGTGACGCAGCTAGAGGTCTGGGATTTTACCTGTGGTTTCATTGCATTCCAGCCTCTGGAGACAGACTCACATTTCTTATTTTTAAAAACTGCACTTACTGTGCACCAGCTGGCAAGCGATGCCGCCCGCCCAGCCTTGCCCTGGCAGTCCCTCGGCGACTGAGAAACTGCTGCTCCTCTTCTCTCTTCCTGGCTGAAACGGGGTTTGCCCTCTCAGAGATGAGCAGTCTGCTTCTCACCTGTTTTGCCTGTATTTTGTTCCTCTCTTCCTAGTCACGATGGTTTATCCTCCTGCTGTTGAGCTGCTGCGTAAACCCATCTGTTTTCACTCGCTCTCTTTCCTAGCCGTCTGCATCAGGCTGTCAAGCTGTACTTATTTGCAGCCTTCTCTGGAGGTTTCACCTGCCCACTGGCCATGACTGATGGCGCAGCCAAAGTCATTGAGGTATGAGCTCAGCCGGTCCCTGAGGGCACAGCTCACATCTCGGCAGCGCTGCTGAGGGACCGGAGCACTGGCCAGGGGTGGAGGAGAGCTGACCTGCCACCTGGCACTGGGCACGGCCCGCCCTTGCGCTGTGAGACAGCTCCCTCTCCCACTGCCTTCCCCCTCAGGTTGCAAAGTCTCTGTGCCCAGGTTTGTGCTTGCTTCCACCGCTGTGTGCAGTAAGGCCTTTGCTGCACGTGAAACCTGTGGTGCCGCAGGCCGTGGGGAAGGTGTCCCAGGTGGTTTTACTACGAGATAGTTTGCTGCTGGCGTGGAGTGGCGGTTCAATGTGTTGGCCCGGATCTGTACCTGATGTAAATTAACCGAGCGAGCAAGACTTTCCCAACCTGAAGATTTGGCTCTGCATTTTAGTGACACCCTTTGCACTATGTCGGTGGCTCTGTAGGATGCAGAGTAAAGCTGGCCCTCAAGTAGCTTGCCCTGGGCGTTTTGATGCAATAAAAAGGGGAAAAAAAAAAAAAGCATAAGGCAGTTACCTCTTTCCCCTTTGGGTGCTGGTGACACCCAGCGCATAGGCACGATACCCTGGCACACGTGCTGTTTTGAAAGCTCTCTGTCCAGATGAGTAGCGGTGCAGAAATCCGAGGGGTGGGGGGGGGGGGCTCCGCACCCTCCTTTGCCCCACAAGCCTGCGCCTTCTGCCTGCGCCGTGCTCCAGCAGCCGTGAAGGAGCCGGGCAGTTTCACAGACCCTCAGCAGCACCTGCGGGTGCACCGCGGTGCAGGACACGCAGAGCCCCGCTCGCCCGCTTGCAGACCGCCCGTTCCGAGCCGAGGGCACGCCAGCGTTAGCTACGGCAGCTGTCTGATCTCATCTTCTGGGTCAGGACCACCTTGCCTTGTTTTCCCTCCCCCGAACCAGTCACTAGGTGTTCCTGCGTCTCTCAAAAACGCTTTTACCCGTCTGACGTCCCGTGACCCCAAGAAGTTCTGGACCTCTGGCCAGTGGATGACCGAGCGCAGGGGAGGCTCCGATGTGGGTAGGTGTTATGAGGTGGGAAGCTACTGCAGCAGCAGCTAGGTGTGTTAGTGAGAACTGTGAAAATGAAGGGTGCGGGGAACTTACAAAGCCAGGTAGCTGGTTTAGGAAACTTCAGCAGAAGCCGTCCAAATCCTCTGCATAGCTCTGCTTTTTAACCGACAAAAGGGCCAACTTCTGTCCACCGGTGCATGCGTACACACAGGCAGGTACAGGGCTGTGTTCACACCCTGATGTCTAGCTCTGTGATCTAAACCTTGAGCAAGACAGTCAGACCCATCCCAGCCGGGGCTCAGAAAGCATTCCTGGCCTTCCGCTTTTATTCCTTGGATAACAGGAATTAGTAGTAATGGCCTGATGGGCCCCGAAACCTCAGAACTCCACTGCAGAGACAGAAACGTGGAAGGGGAATCACCTGCATCTGATGAAGCTGCAGGTGGTTTCCAGGCGGAAGAAGTGAAAGGGTCAGCAGCGGAGTGGAAGCGGTGCAGCGCTGCAGGACTCCCGACTCCGCAGCACCCTTTGTTGTTCTCGGCCGTGGTAGCTCCTAAAGCAATGGAGGCGTTGGGTTGTGCCCCGCGGCGCGTTCTGCTTACGCAGCCCTGCCGTTACCGGCTGGGAGCAGCCGCCGGGAAGGCTCGCGGTTAAACACAGCACATTTCCTTCCCGGTACTTGGCTCTGGCTGTGTTTCTTATCCCGGGAAAGATAAGAAATGAGCGGCTGCCTAACCCAAAAATCAGCACTGATTGATGCAGACGGTCCCCTAAAGCCAAGATGATCTCCTTTCTCGCAGCTAACGGCACTGAGACAGTGGCCAGAAAGCAGCCCGACGGTACCTATTGTCTCTATGGCTTTAAATGGTTTACATCCGCTGCTGATTCTGATGTGACATTAACCTTGGCCAGGGTAGTGGATGCTGAAGGACAAGTAAAACAGGTCTGTCTGAGGGTGGAACCAGGTGAAGGAGCAGGGGCATTCTTCGTTTCATCCTCATGAAATCCTCTTCTCATGCCTTTCAACGGCCCCAGGGTTCCAGCGGCCTGTCCCTGTTCTTCCTGAAGGTTCGCGATGAGGAGGGGAAGCTGAACAGCATCCGAGTGCAAAGGCTGAAAGACAAGTTGGGCACACGGCAGATGGCAACAGCAGAGCTATGGCTAGATGGAGCTAAAGCAGAGCTGGTACGTGAGGTTTCACCTTCCTCCCGGTCAGGGCTGGCGTGGCACGGCAGACCACTCGTGGGGGTTCTGGCAGTGATACCAGCTGAAAAAGTTCCTCTCTTCCACCTCTGGGGCTGGCTGTTTGCTTTGCAGAACACTCCACCAGCGGGGCTGTGTGTGGGACAGAGCTGAGAAGAGCTCAGGAAAAGACGGGAGGGAAGGGGGGAAAAAAAAAAAGAAGTCATTTTAGGTCAGTCATTGACCCAGCTGAGGGACAGTCCTGTAGGCGCAGGCAGGAACAAGCAGCAGGGACCAGAACTGATCATGCTGACGGGGTCTCCAAAGCCTCCCCTCCGGTCGTGCCACGGACTTGGCTAAAATGAGACAGCGATATTTTAAAGCAAGCAGAACTTTGTGGTGCCTGAGGACAGAGAGGGATGGACTGGACGGTATCTGTCTGTCTGTTGACACAGCTTTCACTTAGATGTGCGTCCGCTGCCGAGGCTGTGCGGGATGCTTACATCAGCCTTTGCTCCTCAATGCATTCAGATCTCCCCAGAGGGTCGTGGTGTGGCCTCCATCTCCAACATGCTGAACATAGCTCGGATCCACAACATCACCAGTGCAGTAGCTTACATGAGAAGGTGACGGCAGCGGGGATCCCACCAGAGCTGAAGAGCAGCCTGTCAGGACGGGGGGACTTTGCAAGGCTCGGCCTGGCAGCCGATTGACGTCTGGTGCCTTTGCAGGCACAGGTCTGGAGGCCAGCAGTGCTGGAGAAGGTTGGCCTGTGGGTGGGTGGCCTGGTGTGCTCCAGCTGAGCAGGGTTCTTCCAGTGGGGGTGGTTGGAAGGGGAATCTCCGAAGCGGAGGGTTGCTGGTCTAACTGCTTTCCCTGGCTGTATTCTCTCTAGGATGATCAGTCTGAGCAGGGAGTATGCCCGTAGGCGGGTTGCCTTTGGGAAGCTCCTCAAGGACCATCCCCTACACATGCAGACGTTAGCCCGGATGGAGGTAAGGCTTTTGGGAGCTGAGCTGAACCCACTGGCGAGGAAAGAGGGTCGAGATCCTGAGCTGCTAATGAGCAGAGCCAGCCTGCCTCGGTGTGCAACAGTCAGGTGTAGAGGTTCTGGAGAAGTATCAGCAGGGGAATTGCTATATTATACTGGGATTTGATCTGACGATAGACGTAGCTTCTCTGCTGGACTTCAGGTTATCCAACCACAACCACCTGGGAGCTCTCCTGAGAGGAGCGCCGAAGGTCACGCATGCACCTACCGTGACATGCCGTGACCTCTGAAGTTGGTCATTAGCACCAGAGTCCAAGCATGACAGCACAGTCTCCTGAACCACAGTTCACAGGCTTGTCCAAGACACATACAGACTCACCCAACTTCCCTGGTAGCTCGTGCACCAGGAGACGGGCTGTTCCCAGCAGGCTGGAAGAATTCCTGAGTGGTCACCGGGCACTTTAGCTTCTGAGAGGTTTGTTTTCACTGTGTGCCCGCTCACCACCACAAGACACCGAGCTCGAGTACAGCCTCTAGATGCAAATGTCGTCTAAGGCAACAACAAACGATGGAAGAGAGAGCAGCGTGAATTGGCAGTGTGGCTCTGGGAGGAATTTCACGTGCGAGCCTTCACTCGCTGCAGAATGTCTCACAGCTTTGCCACAAGGCTGAGCTGCAGCGGCTCACTAAATCCACAGGACACAGGCAGCTTCCCACCCCTACTAAAACTTCAAAAAGAAGGCGCACAGTTCTCCTCCTCTCACCCATCCAGCACAACGTCTTAAGTGGTGTAACACCAGCACTTGCCCTTGGGCTGCAGTAGGTTCATGCAAGTTTTTAAAACAGTATTTAAAAATCCTCTTGCAAGGTGGGGGAGAGGGAAAGTGGCCAACATCTGTCAAATCTAACTTAAAGCTCCAGCATGTCTTAGCCTGTGGCCAGAACTCCCCCTCTGAAAGAAAGGCTGGATCCTTTACAGTCCAACCGCACATCATTACGCGCAGGGGCTACGGAGCTCCACATCCCGGTGCTTCCCACATCACAGCTTGCCAGGGAAGTAAGCTGCTCAGCAAGAAATCTGTCAAAGACCTTGCAGATCCTGGTGCTCAGAGGCTGACCATCAGATGAGCAGTCTCACGTCCCTTACTCGTGGAAAGGATGTGGATTTGTGACCTGGGTGCCTCACAGGGGCTTTGATAAGGCTCCGAGTAGGCCCGATGAAATGGTGTTGCCCCTTCCCTCACACCAGATTGCGGTGTCCAAGGGCAGCAGCTCCAGACTGCCTTCAACACTTGACACTTTGTGCCTTGGCTGGTCAGTGGCCTGTGTCTCTGAAGCTGTGGATCTGTACGGGCAGGGGTGGCATTTTGCCCAGATCCGAGTATCGTGCATCCCTGTGAGATGGTCTCATGGCACCTCAGCAGAGCGGGCTGGAATCAGCCTGAGGCAAAGACCCTTGCCAGTGAAGCTCCCCACTTCTCTGCTTGCAGGTGCAGACGCGAGGGGCGTTTCTTCTGCTTATGGAGATCGTTCACCTGCTTGGACTTGTAGAAGCCAACATGGCGAGTGAGCCAGAGCAGCTTCTCCTGAGACTGCTGGTACCAGTCACCAAACTGTACACTGGGAAGCAGGTATGGGACAACCGGCTGGATCAGCTCAGTGGGGCTGGGTGGCACATTAGCGACCACAGAGCTGGCCAGAGGGGCGAGTAACACGGCCAACGCGAAGGGCAGCGACCGCAGGAGATACCAGCAGTGACCTCTAGCTGCAGGGCCTGCGGGAACTATTGCTCTGCACCGAGGCTGGACTTGGTGGGTAGGAGGCTTGTCCCTTTGCTCTCGAGGCCGCAGATCGGCTGTCTGAGCAGAACAGACAGAGCCAGCGCGCTCTGTGAAGTCCTCTGCATGCCACAGCTGCCGTGACACTCCGCATGGCACGCAGGAACGCTGCTCAGGCTGCCCCAAGACCAAAGTGGGACACTGAGCCACGGGGAACATCTTTCCCCTAGTTACAAATAAATGAAGAGAAGGTGTTAACAGCTTAGCATTAGCCCTAACTTCAGGAGTCCGTCCCTCTTCTACTTGCCCTCAGCTTAACTACACAGAAGCTTAGACACAGTAGGCAAGTAGAAGGTAAAAGACTCCCCTGGACTAGAGACACGTGCTCCCACGGGTTTACCCTTACCTAGAGAGGCCTGTATTGAGACAGGCTCTCCCTGGATCTTCTCCCAAGGTCTGGACTGCTCCTGCGGGTCCTCTCTCACTCTTCCTCAGTCTTCATTCCCCCGGCTGCTCCTTCTGCGTATCATGAGCCACCTGGCTCAGCAAATCGGTGGCATCCATTCAGTCCCACCCCAGCAGGCCCTGCTGTGCGGTGTTAGAGGTTTCTGGCCCCTCTTTTCCCTTGTGCAATGTGGGTCACGTCAGCTCTCTGCATTTTGCAGGCTTCTGCTGTTGCTCTTGAGGCCATGGAGAGTTTTGGAGGACAAGGTTACATGGAGGACACAGGCGTGCCGGTCATAGTCCGTGACGCTCTGGTAAGAAAGCAGCAGGAGAAGCAGAGGTAGCTCCTGTGTGTCACCTAGTCCCCTGCACAGGACTCTGTGCTTGCCTGCTAAAGACGTGCTCAAGGGAAAACGCAGCCCTCCCCAGCCTCACCCCAGGCACGGCAGCTCTTTCCTAGTTGCCTTCCTGCCGAGCCCAGCCATCACCAGGGAGGGGACGGGATTTGTTCCTGGTGCTGGCCTCGTTCCCTAGCTCAGCAGTGGAGCTGCTCCTAGCTCCCATCACCGCCGCTCCTTTCCACTTGTGGTGAGGCATGGCATCGCTGGAGATTTCCTTGGTACCCCTTAGCTCTGCCCCGTGCCTTTGTCCCTTCATGTTCCCCTTTTCTTTATTGCAGTTGCTCCAAAAGGCTCCTTCATGCTCTTCCGCTGCCTCTTCTGCCCCACAGGTGCTGTCCATATGGGAGGGAACCACAAATATCCTGTCGCTTGACGTCCTGCGATCCCTCAGCAAGAGCCAAGGACAGGCGATGGCTGTGTTCTCCGCAGTGCAGGTGAGCCCGCCTCGAACGCACGGGTCAGCCTGACTCGGCAGAGTCTGAGCTGGTGTTTATGCTCCTGGCTGAGGCTGGTAGGGAACGGAAAGCTTCAGACAAGTATTCAGGTGTCTTACAATTCGGCTTTTTAAGCAGCGCTTACAAAAGCAGAACGCAGGCAGTGCTCATGTTGGGATCCTCCTGTGCTGCAAAAAGCGCAGCTACTTTCATCTCAGCAGGGAAGAGTTTTGCCTTGTCAGGGTTCCTCACGACAGGTACCAACAGAAGGGCATTTTTAATGTGGAAGAGTCGCCTTCCTGAATCCAAAATAATTTTGTGGTTTTGTTTCTTAACTGGAAAATCACCACAAGACTGCTGAATATATCAACCTTCGCTAGGGCTACCTCCTGCATTATGGCTTAGGACTGAAGAGATGGCAGGAGCCAAAGGAATTCCATTGCTGCCTCTTCCGAGTTGCCCTTCTCTGGCTTTACCTGCCGGCTGCTCTCTTAAAGGTGCTTGGGTGACAGGCAGTGCCGGAGAGATCAAAGCAGCTCAGAAATTCCTGAAGGCCAAGGAGGATCAGCTGGCTTCATATGACCCATGAGGGGAGACAGGAACCAGCCCGAAAGGTGTGATCGGCGATCGCAGGGTATTCTCTCAGAGGTGCCACTATTAATCCAGACGGAGCCACCCAGATTCCATGAGCCCCGGTTCAGTGAGGGAATCCTGGAGTGCTGGGTTTGACTGTGCGTAGCCTTTGCTTTCTCATCCAGACCCCACGAGAAGGGAAGGGGCTGGGTCGCCGCCCTCCCTGCAGCACCGACAACTGGATGGGTCTTTCAGAAACACATGAGCAAGAGCCGGATTCTCAGCAGTGGCGGCGGTTGGCACCTTCTGTCACACTCCGTCCCCCAGCTCAGCCGTGCCCCGTACAGAGCCCTGCTGTGACCTCCAGAGAGGAGTGTCGCCCTGCCACCCTCTCAGACAACTTTTGAGAAAGGAAAAAATCCCTCAGAGAATTTGACTAAACGAGGCCAAACCTGCTCATAAGCAGGACTCCTCATCAAAAAGCCACCTGGTCCAGCCGTTGATCCGAAGCAGCTTAGGCTGAGACTGAAGGTAACGGGGTAGAGAAGGAAAGGAGCCAGTGGTAGGCTCCAAAAATAACTGGGAAAGAAGCCGGCCTCCACAGGCTTGCACTTTGGCTGATTTACATGAATACCCCACAAAGGTGCCACGCTGCCGTCCTCGGAGCACCTCGCTGGTGTAGCCGAGAGGGCCCCTCCAGCCGCTGCGCAACTGGGCAGTCACAGAACCACAGAGTGGTTTGGGTTGGAAGGGCACTTAAAGATGATCCG